TATATATATATATATATATATATATATATATATATATATATCATCTCTATCATTTTTACTGTAGTTTATCATTGCCATTGTTTACTGTTCTGTCTGGAGCAGGTCTCTTGTAAATGAGTCCTTGTGGCTCAATGAAGCCAACCTGTATAAATAAAAGGTTGAATAAATCATTATGTATATCTATATATTCATTCAACCTTTATTGATACAGGTTAGTTACATTGAGCCAACAGGACTCATTTACAAAAGAGACCTGGATTTTAACAAAGAGTGATGACAACAGTGGATAACAAACTGTTTTTCAATTGTAAAACAAACAAACAATTAGAAAAACTTAAATTTGTATGAATCATTTGTGAATGTCTGTTGTTGTTGTTGTTATCACTGTCTTATTATCTTGTGCTCTGGTCCAGTCTCTTCATGGACGATGTGTGTGAGGGTGGACATGTTTAGAGGTTGCTGTGTTGAAGCTCCATGAATCAGCCTCTCTGCAGCTCTCAGCACCTTCACTGAGCCTTGAGGGAATCACTGAGCTGCTCTTGTTCTTCACAGTTAGAAGGTGGGAGCTCTCGTCAAATGATGATCTCCTGCATCATCTTGTTCATGCCGGGCTTTTCATCCACTGACCACAGCCACCTGTAAACATCAGGGGGACCAGTAGCTGTTTAACACATCTGGAAGGAAACCAGTGAGATTTTAATATGATCATTATGATATGATGTTATGTGGGGGAGCGGTGGAGCAGAGGTTAGAAGATGGGCCTGTGATCGGAAAGTCGCAGGTTCAACTCCCGGTACCGTCAACATCAAAATGAGGTGGAAAAGGTGAAACACCCACACCTGCCTCCACCCTCATTGGCCCCACCCTGGTCCCCTGAGCAAGGCCCTTAACCCCCACCATCTGCTCCTAAACAGGTCTCTCTTGAAAATGAGTTCTCTTGACTCAGTGAGACTACCTGTATAAATAAAGGCTAAATGAAAAAATAAAAGTTTAAAATAGAAATACTCACATCATGAGGCCAAGGTTGTGTGTGTGTGATGTGCACGTTCCTGAGAGTGTGTGTGTGACGTGCACGTTCCTGAGAGGCCACAGACAGAGCAGCTCCAGCTTTTGTTGAGTTCCTGTAGTCCTGCAGTTTTCAAGCTGAAATGAAAAAACATCATGAATATGAACTTTACAGTCTATAGTTACCTGTTCATATAAACACATGGAGGTGTCTCACCTTGAGACTGACAATAAAATATGTACATTTATGAACTCTAATGAACTTATAATGATGCTCCTACTCTTTGAAGGTGAACCGATGGTACCACACCATCTCTCAGTCGGACAGTCTGATCAGTTTGATCAAAATCCTCCAGTTTAAAATCCTCACTGCTCAGATGAATCCTCCTCAAAGATACTTCCTCCTCTTCCTCACATCTTGTTCTTTGGGAAACCTTCAAAATGAAAACAGGAGATTTGTGTCTACACAAAAACATTGTACAGAGGAGGTCAAGCTTATTTTCTATTTCCTATATTCTCCCTAGTTTTATTTTTTTATTTCCTAGAACTTAAACAAAACTCCAATTATGATACATATCTCTTGATAATGAACCAAAGCTACTGAAATAGTGAATATGCTTGTTAGAAAAATATTCCTGTCATCAGATCTCAGTCAGCTTCATTGCAGCTGAACACCGTGTTACACTGAACATCACATCAGCTGGTGGACATAAATACAGTACAGTAATATTCTATTCACAAAATACTAACAATAATATGTTCATCTTACTTGTGAAAAGTTATCCCACGAGACCTGACGTCAACAGTCCGTCGATTAGAACAGAAATAAGCTGCCAAGTGCTGAAACATCTGCTTTAACCAAATAAGGACGACCGTTTCAAGATGGCGGCCGAAAATCCTGCGCCGCAGCAGCCAATGAGGCATCTAGTGTTTATAGCTATGGTTTCAGACTATATAAACACTAGATACAGCATTGACCGCTACGCCAGCCGCCATCTTGGAACGGTCGACTGCTCCACTCAGTGTAACCTGTTTGTCAGGAGCAATGAAGTATCTGCGCGTTTAATCAGTCATAGCTGAACTCATTCTCACGATTTTTTTCCTCTGTAAATCTTAGACGTACAGCCATTAAAGCTGAACACTTGGTTCAGTGTATTTAAATATTCTTGGTGGGGTTAACAATAAGACTAATAAAATATTCTTATGACAAATTTTGCAAAACTCACAGTCACTGATTGTCACGAATTGGGGTGGATCGGACAAGCACAGACTCAGAAAAAGGTTTTTAAAATGTCCATCCATCCATTATCTTTACCCGCTTATTCCATTTTGGGTCACGGGGGTCGCTGGTGCCCATGTCCAGCAATCACTGCGCGAGGGGGTACACCCTGGACGGGTCGCAGGTCCATCACAGGGCCACATAGACAAACGAGACAAACAACCATTCACTCTCTCACTCACACCTACGGACAATTTAGAGTTACCAATCAGCCTAACATGCATGTTTTTGGACTGTGGGAGGAAGCCGGAGCACCCAGAGAAAACCCACGCATGCACGGAGAGAACATGAAAACTCCACCCAGAAAGGCCTCTGGACCGGGGTTTGAACCAACTACCTGCAGCAGCTGAGAGGCAGCAGCTCTACCAGTTGCGCCACCGTGCTGCTCGTTTTTAAAATGTTTAAAAGTTTATTTTTAAACCGGCGGCGTCTAGCAAGAGGTTCTAGCACGAGCAAGAACAAGCAGTGAGGCTGGATGGGCGAGCTGTGACGCTGAGGGGTTTGGGCAGCAGAACTTTTATCCAGGGACAGGCAAGGGTCAAAATAGTGATGGTAGTATGAAACAAAAGCTTCAAAACATGCTTCGAACCCTGCAGTAAAATTACATCGGACCACTGCTTCCGAGCCTGTTTTGGTGCGGAAAAAGTCACGTGACACGTGACGTCCGAAACACACTGTTTCGTTGTCGGAATGAATCGCTTGACTGGTTCGCGGTCCAAACAGCTGATTCCCTGGCCTCGTCTCGGTTCTGACAGGTGACCGGTTGAGACAGTTTTGAATTGAGAGCTCAACACTATGAAACAGCTCTAAAACATTTGCAATGTGTTGGAGAGTAGGTGTGTTTTTGCCGTTAGTTGGGAACACTTCATTCTGCTCATGATAAGGTGGTTTTGGCATTTAAATGTCAAAAATGTTATAGTAATGTGCAACAGTGAAGATATTATCTAACCCATTTAACCCATGTATTTAACATAATTACAGTAAAATGATGTATGTTATTTGAATAATCATATATCAGTATGGGCTCAAATTATTATTTTTATTTACATTAGTGTATTTCTGCAGGTGCAGTGTCTGGTGTGTTCAACTCTTTTTAAAATTTTTTATTATTTTATTACAAATCTTTATCAATTTTACAAACTGTCTGCCAGGGGTCTATTAGCAGGTACAAAAGTATAGAAAGAACAATTTGGTTATAAAATGGTATAAAGGGTAAAAAAATCTAAAGATACAAAACAATATATATATACATGTTATACAGATACATTCACATTAAGTTTTTCTAGAACTGAGTTGGTTTTCATTGCCTTTTTGTTTTCCAGTCCTTTAACAGTCGTGCTGTATATGTAAAGTTCCTTGCTGAAGTGGGTTATGTTTGGCTTGGAGTTTGACCACTTTTTCTTGTGAATGTGGAATTTTCCCAGGAGAAGTAGAAGTTGGGTGAAGTAGATCAAGTCTTTGTCCATATCCTTATTGTCGAAGCATAATATAATGTCTTTCTCTGTAAGTTGAATTACTTTGTATTCCAGTTTTCTGTTGTATGAGTTGTTGTACATCTGTCCAGAACGTCTTTGTGTGATTACATTGATAGAATAAATGAGAAATTGTTTCCATGTGTAGTTCACAAAATGTACAAGAGTAGTCAATATCAAGTTTAAGTCTTTCCAGTGTTTTTTAACAGGTTATAATTATGATTGATTTTATATGAAACCTCTTTAACTTTATTTGTTATGCAACATTTTGCTCCATTCAACCAAACTTGTTTCCACTTCTCACTTCACACTTCAGCGCCAATCATGGAGATGCTGGAGACGTCATTTCATTGATATTTTTAAGAATAATAAAGACTCGGACTCTGCCACAGTTACACAAGCACAATACCATTGTAACATTTTTATTAAATCTCTTCAATGCACATTTATCAATCTTTATTCAAAAACATGTAAGTATAAATACATTTTCAAACCAGACAACATAGAAAGTTGATGAATTTAAAAAATCTGTTTTTTACCACAGTAAAGTAGTTTCTTTAACACTAGTCACTGAAGTTCTTTGGCGTGTGACACCAAAAACATAACACCTAATTTGGCAGCAGCATTGCAAAATGCCACAAGAGGTCACTGTAACTGAAGCTTCAACAAATGAACCTATTTTTGAAACAATTGGCCAAACTGGTTCAATGCTTCATAAAAGCTTCATTTGCTCATCACTAGGTCAAAACCAGAGAAGAATCCAATCCGGGTGGCAAAAGCGAGAGCGAAAGGTCATGGGCGAAGCTATGGTCGAGAACTATGATATGAAG